GTTTGGCTTCTTGTGTGCTCCTTTGCATCTACCGATTTCTACCATGCTGACTTTGTTTAGGATGAGTTCTTATACAACTTGTCTGCTGACACAGGTATAGCAAATACACTGAAACCCCTTTTTCCTATTGGTTTTGAGAAATAAATTTTTAAAGATAATAAAGTGAGGTTCCGATTAATGCCAGTCTCATATGTGACCTGTTTTGTGTGCTGGCCGTGAAGGCAATACTAAAATCTGTACCAGCTTGCTGATTTCCTTTTACCTTCTTTGTAAATTTATGACAGGGTGAGGTATGGTGGTCCTGCTATGAAGATCCTACTGTCCAAATTTAGTAAATGGAAAATGGTGAAGGGTACTAGGAAAAGCAAATTTACTGCTGACCATTGTTTATGAACTGCAATAACTGTAGGGTAGTGGAGGTTGTAATCAAGCATGCAATTGAATATATTCTGGTGTGAGTTTGTGCTCAGTGGGGTGGCTTAAATGAGAACTACTTTTGTTTAGCTTACACTATTCTGTCCCTAATTTTGGATGACCTTTAACTATGCTAAGGTAATTGCAAAAGGGGTATTATGTGAGATACATTCTATATATGTCATTAAAGAATTTGAATAACTTGGGATAGACAGGGATCTTTTATGTCTGTGGAGCTTAAGCCTTGTTCTGATAATACCAGACCTTCAGACACTGCACTGGAGGCCGATGTGGCCTTTAAAGCATAACTTTGTGCAGTAGTTGGGCAAGAACATCAGGTTGGTTGTGCTTGTGCCACATGTGCGTACATCCACAGTCCCATCCTCTGCCTGTTGTAGACATTACTGTCATGCTACTTAAAACGCTTCTGATTTGCAGAACTGAATCTGAAGCCAGTTTTATAATGTATTGTCTTCTGAACTGGAACTGTTTGTTACCAATTAGAGAGCTGACTGTAATCAGACACCCTAATGTGTTCTACTTAAACCAGTGCAATCCTTTCTACCTGTAGCTGTATGATGCTGCTGCTCAGTAACTGTTAAAATACTGTTCGATGTGACTTTTCTTCCCCAAGAGATTGGCCCAACACAGGCGTTACCTATGGCTGATGCAGAATGCCATCTCTTTGCTGCCTTCTCTAACCAGCTGGGTGGTGCTTTCTGTTTTTTCTCCTGCAGTTGTGTATATTAATGTGATGATGCTCTTCTGTGTACATGTGGACAAGGCAGTACAGGAGAGAGAGATGTAGGTGAACTTCCTCCTGCTTTTTTGAAGCACACACTTAGGTGAACTCTTGACTTTTCTTTATAGTCTCCACTTAGATATGCAGTATGTTCTACTCCAAAGGTCATGGCTCACTTTATTGTGAAGCTTGTTGAAACTGTAAAAGCCTTAATCTTGCATGCTTCTTCCCCACCCTCCAGAAAAAGAAATGGATCACGAAGCTGTAGCCACCTTCTTTCTTGATCTCTGGAACTGAAGTTGCTGCTCCTTGGCAGCAGCCTTGGAGCTCATAGCATGTAAGCCTTCATTTGAAGGCTAGTGTGCAGATTCATGAGGCATTCTTGGAAAACCCAACTGGCTTGTATATAAAATGTGGCTATTATAATCAATTGTAGAGTATTTGTAATCATTGTATCCTTTATGAAAAGTCTGTGGAATTGCATTCAGATTATTTCGTTAACATTTAATTCAGATAGGATAGTGTAGAAGTTTCTCAGCTTTTGTCATGGTAGCTGACATGAGAGTATAAGGATGTATAAATGCATTCATAGAACGACACTGAGAGGTGAAATTGGTTAGAGTATGTGTTGAGTCAATACAAGTATTCCCAAAAGGGCCATTCTCAGTGAAATGGTTTTGACCATGTGGGGTAACTTGTTTAGTTTTAACATTTGTCACAAGCAGAGGCAACTCTAAAGACCTGGAAAAACTTGGTATACTTCTGATTAAAATTGTTTATAGGTTGGGGTTTAGTTGGGTTTTGGTGTGGATGTTTGTTGTTTGTTTTTTTTCCCAGTAGCTATATTTTGGTGTTAGGTAGCCTCAGATACACCTTCAGGAGGTAGCCTTTCATCTCTTCGAGACGAACTGACAGTTACATGAGAAAGACATTAAAACCTTTGATGTGATCTCTATTTATTAGATGCTAGGTAATTTGTTAAGTAGTCACTACCAGTTTTCTGTTGCTAGTAATCGGCTACTACTAGACACCACAAGTAGCAGGTGCGGTGCATGCCTGCTCCTGAATAGCTGCTATTCAAAGCCTGGTCTGTCAGTGTGAGGAGACCAAATTCAACTTTTAATTCATCAAGCTGAAATTGTAGTAATAGGACCTTTGGTGCATGATCTTTCTTAGATCTGGATGTCTGCCCAACAGCTGCTGGTTCTTGTTTGCTGAGATCCATTGAACAAGTTTGCGGAACATCGCTGTAAAGACTGTGGGGGTCTAATAAATAACCTTCTGCAAACCATTATGTTTCCAACCTAGATCAGTTCAGCATTGGAGCGACACTGTGCTGAAAATCTGGTTAGCCTTAGTTGTGCAAGCCAGAGGGTGATGCAGATGGCTCAGAGTGGGAATATGGCAGGGGCAGTTCCTTTGACTGGCAGTGTTCCTGAAGGAGACAGTGTATGAACCTGTAGCCTGTGTTGAAGCTTTAGATTGTCATCAGCGGAGCTGCAGTGTGGTAAGCAAGTGTTCTACACCTGTTCCGAAGCATGGTAGTTTTTTAACTTAAGCCACCACTCTACACTGTGCGTTTTAAAAACTGCTTCAGCATTAAAACCGGTCCCAACATGCTGCAAGTTAGTTATCTGCATTTGGGCTCAATGCTGCTGCCAGTGAAAGAGAAGCTCCTACTGTGTCTTTGCTGTTTAGTTTCCACACTTGGAGCAATTCTGACCAATTGACCAAATCCCCAGGGACCAAATTGAGGATTTGCTCTGGTTAAAACTTGATCTGAATGTCTGTATTGGCAAAGGGAGGAGGTAGAAATAAGTATCAAGAGAGGAATGTGCTGGTGCATACTCAGTGACTATGTAGCTATAGCATATTTGTGTCCTAAGAGAAGACCCTTGCTTCTGAAAAATTACTTTCAAGGTATTAATGCTAGGCTTGAAATACAGACTTGCTCCAGCATATGAGCAGGTGTCACTTTCCAGATAACACAGTGTTTGGTGAGGCCAGAAAGTATGTGTGCCTTTATTGATTCATCAGCTGTTACAAAGGTTAGGACAATGTTGACTTCTTTTCCCGCATGATAGTATGAGTGGCATAGGTGAATAACTGGGTTTGTCTGTCTGCTGGCCCCCACTCCTCATTAATTATGGGCTGTTGTCCTTTTTTGATGTATTTGGGATTAAAATGCTTTCCTGTGTGTTGATGTTTCTTTGATTAGTATGTTTTTAAAGGTACATTTCTTGGATCTATATTTATTTGGTGCTACAGATAGGGGTTTATATCAAAGACTGTTCTTTCACATGCAGCTAGCTATTCTATCAGAGGGTAGCTATTCTGTAACTTTCAACAATACAGAATAACATTTGCATCTAATGGCTGGGTTTCTATGTTTTGATACATTGATCTTTAACTTTATTCTTTTCGACAAAACAATGATGTTTTGTCCCCAGTGTTATGTTGAGTGAACCCTTGCCTTGTAGCTGTGAAGTTTTTCTGTAGTAGTCACAAATACTATGTATTACAGTAACTGTACTTGAGATGGCCATGCACATGTATTGTACAACTAATCAAACTCTTCTTTTTGCATACCAAATGATGGTATGCAAGTTGCAAGGTGACTTTTAGTCTGGATTTTATGCAGAAAGCTTTGCATTGTTCTATGTGCTGACTTACATGCAATGTTTATACAATGATTTTTTTTGTCTGGTGTAATGTCCTCCTCATGGATGAGTACAATGTTGTCCTGGGTTCAGCAGTAGCAGTCATTTTTCTCCTTGGTAGCTGGTGCAGTGCTGTGTTTTGACTTTTGGCCTGGGAACAGAGCTGATAGCTATGTTTTGGTTTGGCCAAGGACTTTGTGAGCCTCATGCTCTGCCAGGGAGGAGGGGAAGCCCGGAGGAAGCAGAGGCAGGACACCTGACCCAAGCTAGCCAAAGAAGTATTCCATACCACAGCATGTCATGCCCAGGATGTAACTGGGAGTTACCCGGAAGGGCTAAGACTGCAGGGTTGGAGGAGGTATGGGTCAGAGCTTGGTCGGGCTTGGGGGGCAAGTTATTGGTCGGCTGGTGGTGAGCTGTTGTATTCTCTTCCCTTGTTTCCTTTATCATTATTATTATTGGTAGTAGCAGTAGTGATGTGTGTTATACCTTAGTTACTAAACTGTTCTTGTCTCAACCTGTGGGAGTTGCATTCTTTTCGATTCTCCTCTCTGTCCCTCCGGGAGTAGGGGGAGGGAAAGAAAGGGGGAGAGTGAGTGAACAAGTTACCTGACTGGGTTTAAAACCACGACAAATGTTTACGTCACTAACTTTAGGCGAACAGTTATAGAGACACACAGTTTATGCTTGTTTTGTTAGAGTAATACAGGCTTACAAAGTTGAGCCTATTTTGCTATTCTCCAGTTACTTTTTCAGTTCTCATGTATTTTAAGGATTATGGTTTAGATTACTAACATTATTCATTTCTGTTTTGTTTTTTTCCTTGTAGTGAGCCTGGGAACCCTCGCTGTTCTGTTATACCTACCTAGTTCTTCATGAAGGGGAAGGCAGGGTTTTTTTATTTTGGTTGGCCTGGATATAAGCAGTGCTCTCTGTGTACCTTTGCAAGCTAAAGAACTTGAATGAGATGTTAAATGGCACTAAGTTGGTAACTGTGACTTTGGTTATATCAACAACTTAGCTGCCTATGGAAACTGGCAGTGTTTATCAGTCAGAGCTAGCCCTAGCTGAGAGTATTTTGAGTACTTGTAGCTGTTTGGAAGGTTAGGGGCTACTCTGAATATCTATCTGTCATTTCCTGAATGGATATCTCACAACAGCCTCTCTTTAAATTTTTACTATAGGTGAATCATGCTGTGCACAATGGAGGATTATACAAAAGGCCTTTCAATGAAGCTTTTGAAGAAACACCAATGCTGGTTGCTGTGCTGACCTACGTAGGCTATGGTGTTCTCACTCTTTTTGGGTATCTGCGAGATTTCATGCGGCAGTGGAAGATTGAGAAGTGTCAAAATGCTACAGAAAGAGAAGAACAAAAGGTAACCACTTGGAAATGATGTGGCTGAGGCTATAGCTTGAGCATTTCTTTAGGGAGCAGTGTTGTTCAAAGTTTTTTGCTGTTTTCCTTGTCTTCTTAATGCCCTGAATAGTATGCTAGCACTGCTGTCATTAAACAAAATAATGTTTCTTTTACTTGGATTGTTTTTCGGCAGAGCAGTTCCCTCATCAGGTTCACTGCAAAGCTGCATGAGCAGTTATATCAACATGCTGAGAGATGCCCCAGTTGCGGAAACAAGGGTTTGGGGAAAGGAGACTGCATATGCTAGCATCAGCAGATAAAGAAAAGCTTATCAAAGCATCTGGTTTGAGTTTGACAGCAGCAGGAGGTCTTCTGATGCTGTTCTGGTGGCTGTGTTTTGATTTGGAAATATGCCATTAATTCTCTGTAGCCTAAGCAGTTGCAAAGAAAAGCTTGTGGATGAGAATCAGAGCACAAGCTGGATGACTTTAAATTCATCTGGAGTCCAGAACACTATCAGGTTAGCTGGTGAGTAATCTGAGGTGCTGACTCCTCACTCACTGATACCAATTAAAAAGAATTCATTCATAAAAAGACCTATTCACAAAAGCTTCTGTTACAAGATGAGAAGTCTTGCCTCCTTCAACAGTTAATCTGGAACAGATAATACTAATTTTGAGTAGCTGTAAAATAGTTTTAAAGGCCTTTATTCCCCGCAGGAATTAATTACTGTTAAGAAAGCTACTGTTTAAACTTGCAGTTTGCAGGCTGTTTCCTGTGAACTCTTGATGTGACCTCTCCTAGCACAGTGTGAATACCAGTGAGCTTTGCTCCAAAGGTGATTTGGCTTACTCTTGCTGGCCAGGGTTCTGTTTTTCTCTACTGTTTTGGGGAGCCAATCCGGCTTCTAAAATGTTAAGGGAGGTTGTTTTTCAATTGCTGGTTTCTGTTTCTCTGTGCAGCCACACAAGCAGTTGGCTGGCAGAAAGTAGCGGGGTGTGAGAAGGACATCTCACTAATGCAAACAAAAAATCAGGAGTTCGGGGTGGGGGTGGTGGAAAAAAAAGGAAGCCTTGAAAGCCTTTTTCTGGAAGCAGCACTGGAGTAAACTGCGTGTCATTTTAACGGTAGATTAGCTAAGATGCAGTAAACTATCCAGTGCCTAAAATTACAGTAGCTTCTCTCGGTGCACATCATGAGGTAGAATTAAACTGATTCATTATAAAGTACTTAATATCAAAATGGAAGCATAGAATTATAGAACAGTTAGGGTTGGAAAGGACCTTAAGGTCATCTAGTTCCAACCCACCTGCCATGGGCAGGGACACATCGCACTAAACCATACCACCCAAGGCTCTGTCCAGCCTGGCCTTGAACACTGCCAGGGATGGAGCATTCACAACTTCCTTGGGCAACCCATTCCCATGCCTCACCACCATTACAGTAAAGAACTTCTTCCTTATATCAAATCTAAACTTCCCCTGTTTAAGTTTGAACCTGTTACCCCTTGTCCTATCACTACAGTCCCTGATGAAGAGACCCTCCCCAGCATCCTTATAAGCCCCCTTCAGATACTGGAAGGCTGCTATGAGGTCTCCACGCAGGCTTCTCTTCTCCAGGCTGAACAGCCCCAACTTTCTCAGCCTGTCTTCATACGGGAGACGCTCCAGTCCCCTGATCATCCTCGTGGTCCTCCTCTGGACTTGTTCCAACAGTTCCATGTCCTTTTTATGTTGAGGACACCAGAACTGCACACAGTACTTCAAGTGAGCTCTCAGGAGAGCAGAGTAAAGGGGCAGGATCACCTCCTTCATCCTGCTCGTCACACTCCTTTTGATGCAGCCCAGGATACGGTTGGCTTTCTGGACTGCAAGCACACGCTGCCAGCTCATGTTAAGTTTCTCATCAACCAAAGCATTCTCATAGGAGTTTAATAAGCAGTAGGTTTTTTGTATTGGTTGAAAGTACAGGAGCTTAAATTTACAGTATTTGCAAAACTGAATTCTAGGATCTGGAAGTAAAAGTCTTGGATCCCTTTTAACAGTTACAATATCGAAGTAAGGATTACTGGCTAAATCTCAACTTGAAATTTGATGTGTTCATTAATGTCACTTGAGATACTATGGTTTATGTCGTCTGAGAACATGACATTCTTGTATTTTTTTGTGTAAAAACTAGAAGTTGGTACAGAAGAGAACAGTCAAACAATTGGAAAATTCTAAGACATTAGAAGAAAGGTTTAAATATTAGTCTGTACTCATGGCACTTGAGTATTAGGAGGATGTAACTGTTGGTGCAGTTACTCTATACTGCTGTCATTCGATTTCCCTTGCACAGTTTTTGTGGAATGCTTGTTCTGTTACCAGTATGTAAGGTGCAAGACTACTTACAGTAGCCCTTTTCTGTGGGAGCAGTCATGGCTGACATGAGAGTGTACAAAAGGAGGACATCAGGCTGTACATGTAATTTGGGAATACATTATTGATATTAGGCTCTTGGTAAAAATAGTCAGAGGATGCTGAAATACAAAGCTTATTAGCAACTCATTATCCTAGTTTTAAAAGAAATTTAGCCTTCAAATTTTTTATAAATTAACTTAGCATTGCATCTTACCCTGAAACAGTTGCTTAATTGCACCTCCTGGACTGGTGATTTTGAAACCCTTTGTGTGTTGGTGTCATGGTTTAAGCCCAGCTGGCAACCCAGAACCATGCAGCTGCTTGCTCACTCCCCCACTTCCTCCCCCAGCTCCTGGAGAGGTGGGGAGAAGAATCAAAAGAATGTAACTCCCATGGGTTGAGATAAGAACAGTCCAGTAACTAAGGTATAACACAAAGCCACTACTGCTACCACCAATAATAATAATGATAAGGGAAATAATAAGGGAAGAGAATACAACTGCTCACCACCCGCTGACTGATACCCAGCCCGACCGAGCGGTGATCTAACCCTTCCGGGTAGCTGCCCACAGTTTATATACTGGGCATGACATGCTGTGGTATGGAATACCCCTTTGGCTAGTTTAGGTCAGGTCTCCTGTCTCTGCTTCCTCCCACTTCCTCTCTTCTGTGGCAGCATGAGACTCAGAAAAGTCCTTGGTCAGAGTAAACATTACTGAGCAGCAACTAAAAACGTCAGTGTTATCAGCACTGTTCCCAGGCCAAAAGTCAAAACGACAGCACTGCTGAACCCAGGACAGAAGGAGAAAAACGGCTGCTACTGCTGAACCCAGGACAGTATCCACAACTTATTCGATATTATTCACATCATGCTCAGATCCCACATTTTTCAATATACCATCACTCTTGTCTCATATATATATACATCCACACAGAGAGAGAGATCATTCCTTAGTGCATGGACCAATCCCTGTAAAGCTGCTGAGTTCATCTGGTCCATGATGTCGGTCTCTATCTCTCTTGTAACAGTCTTTCAGAGCAGGAGAGGCCGTGTGCAGTGTTGGATCATTGCCTGCTGATGATACCACAAAACTCATCTGGTTTCATCAAAGTTCATTCTTTGTTTGGATGATAGTCAGGGGGAAGTCGGGGCCAGTCACTGGTGACCTGAAGACATCTAGTTGATGAGCTATAAGAGTGCTATATAGCAGGCAACAGCATACAATTGAGTTCATTGGCTGTTTTACCCTAAAATCAAATCCCCTTGAGGTACACATTGGACTTCCCCGTCTTCCCACATTACCCACCAAGTATATCCAGGTCCCTGAGCAAAAGCAATCCCACGAGTGGGTTTGCCTTTACGTGAAGCAGGAATAACCCAGACTGTCTTCCCCAGCAAGTTCTTCATGTGCACCGCAAGAACTTTATCCCGTTCTACAGTATGTGAAAGTTCTGACTGGGCTGGGCCATCCCTGTTGGCAGATTCTCTGGTGTTGACCAACCAGGAGGCTTTTGGTAAATGTGTATCCCAATGTTTGAAAGTCCCACCACCCATTGCTCTCAGTGTAGTTTTTAACAGCACATTGTATGGTTCGATTTTCCCAGAGGCTGGTGCATGGTAGGGGATGTGATATACCCACTCAATGCTGTGCTCTTTGGCCCAAGTGTCTGTAAGGGTGTTCTGGAAATGAGTCCCATTGTCTGACTCAGTTCTCTCTGGGGTGCTGGGTGCCACAAAATCTGTTTCTCAAAGCCCAGGGTAGTGTTCTGGGCCGTGGCATGGGGCACAGCGTATGTTTCCAGCCACCTGGTGGTTGCTTCCACCATGGTAAGCACATGACGCTTGCTTTGGCAGGTTGTTGGCAGTGTGATATAATCAATCTGCCAGGCCTCCCCATATTTGTACACTTCAGCCATCATCCTCCATACCTAAGAGGCTTTAACCATTTGGCTTGTTTAATTGCAGCACATGTTTCACACTCATGAATAACCTGGGCAATAGTGTCCATTGTTAAGTCCACCCCTCGATCACGGGCCCATCTATATGATGCATCTCTGCCCTGATGGCCTGAAGTGTCATGGGCCCACCGGGCCAAAAATAATTCACCTTTATGTTGCCAATCTAAGCCCATCTGAGCCACTTCAATCTTAGCCACTTTATCCACTTGTTGGTTGTTCTGGTATTCCTCAGTGGCCCGACTCTTGGGTACATGGGCATCTACATGACGTACCTTCACCACCAGGTTCTGCACCCGGGCAGCAATATCTTTGCACAGTGCAGCAGCCCAGATGGGTTTACCTCTGCGTTGCCAGTTGCTCTGCTTCCATTGCTTCAACCACCCCCACAGGGCATTTGCCACCATCCATGAGTCAGTATAGAGATAAAGTACTGGCCACTCTTCTCATTCAGCAATGTCGAGGGCCAGCTGGATGGCCTTCACCTTGGCAAACTGGCTCGATTTACCCTCTCCTTCAGCAGTTTCTGCAACTTGTCGTCCAGGACTCCGTACAGCTGCCTTCCATCTCCGATGCTTTCCCACAATACGGCAAGACCCATCAGTAAACAAGGCCTACTGCTTTTCACTTTCTGACAGTTTATTATATGGTGGGGTCTCTTCAG